CTTTGGTGCGTGTCGCCGCGTAGCATCACGTAACCATGTCCATCCCCAAAAGCTGTCACATCAGTCCAACCAATTGCCTGCACACCACACACCCCTTGCAGTTGCTGCTACGGGTATGGAGGGGTATGAGACTTCCAAGTGTAGGACTCAAGGACTGACTCAAGGTAACCTCGGAATCAATAGTTTTCATCATCCCTCATGTCGTGGGTTTCAATCATGGCTCTTGTGCTCGATTGAGGTTGCTGGACTTGGCTTGCTGTTGGTCAAGAAGAGTGATTCAGGCTTCCAGATTCAATCCACACTAGCTGGTTGATCCCAAGTACCTAAAACATCCTAAAACTGCAGGGTTGTCCTATATATGACTGTCTGAACCAAACACCGACGTCCAAACTTGAAGATGGGTCCTCCACGTCCAGGTCTGAAGCTACGAACGGAGCAAGGAGCATCGCTACTAGGAGCAAGGACGCTACTAGGGGCTCCTGGCCTTACGACTAGGAGCATTCTTGCTAGGAACAAAGGCATCTCCAAATCCATATACCACCAAGAAGGCAGCAACACATCTCTGCAGTGACACCTAGTAACCGGCCCAACCAAGGGGGTGCCTGCGTGCTGTCTCAATATACACGCATCCTGTGGTACAGTGGCTCCCTCTTCTACCCAACAGAATCCACTATAGTCTAGCTGGTTAGAATACGCGGCTCTCACCCAAGCGACCCGGGTTCGAATCCCGGTGGGGGAATTTCTTAAATGTGCGACAAAGCATTTCTGCACGTGGGCTGCTTAAAATTCTTCATCCTGAGCTCCCCAACACGAGGTCTTTGCAGTCCGACCTTTGCAGGTCCACCCGGTTTCATCGCTTTGTTTGGACCATTTGAATGTGTCTCCCAGCACACGGAACTCTTTGAACGCATTGCAGTCATTGCAGTCAGTAGAAATAACATTGCATGCATGGAACATGCCACAACCACCGCAACTACCACCTGATGGTCTTTGGCTTTCAGATGCATCTGATCAGAATAAACTGGGTGGTACTGAATCAATTTAGCATACAACGATGACCATACAGCTAGTTATGTAGTGAGGACATTCACCCCAAATAGTGCAAGTATTGAATTGTGCCAATGGCTTGGCATGTGTTGCTCCGAATAAAATAGAGCTCACATGCAAGACAATTCTCTGGACATCTGTCTGTACTCCAATTCACAACCCATCTATGGACACCCTTCTGAAAGTTCCCACACATGGAAGGAGTTTGCAAAATCTTAATCTTTGCTCCACAGGATCATATCAGTACACAGTACAATACATGCGATCGTTGTGGTTTCTACACAAACCTTTCAAATGAGTGCAAAGCAAACAAAACACTCCGTCACCGTCCGATGAGCACCCCAGCGGAACCCGGAAATTGGGCATCGATGGCCTCAGGCCTCATCCGACAACATCTACTGTGGCGCCGCCAGTGCAGTAGACCATGGTTCCAAGAGATATGCATTCAATTACATTCATACTGAATACGTTCCATCTTAATGCACACTGACTCAGTATTGTTTGCGAGGTTTGAGTTGAAACATCGGCAGTGTGCGGTGCATCATCTAGTCCATTGTGTCATCCCAGCCTGTTAAATCGCCTTCCATTCATAGATCGCCACTTCCAATAGCTGGGGCAACGCCTAGACGGTATAGGCAGGCACTCTTGCGAATCTGCCGTTTGAGACCATGGGTGCATCCGTATGGATAGGGGTGTGTACTCTTGGATGGAAAACGACAAGGGCTGAAAACAAACGGCTTACACATGACCTTAAGGCTCTTTCAGCTGTTCAAAAGTCTGTATCTAACATGGCCAATCCTGCCTGAAATGAGCACTTTGGGTCATGGGGTCACCGGATCAAGGACAAAAAAGTTCCACAAAACAATTTGGAGCCAGATTATATATTTTGGGTATTTCCTTTCACTGTCCCTATTTTGTTGTTGTGGGACTTGCTTAGCCTTGCAAGTATAGAAATCCCGGCACACTCTCTCCCTTGATGAACGAACTGCAACAGCAACAGTACCTGTGGGTCAACCACTTGCGTTCTTGCAGGATTGCATGTGGTTAAGCTGTTTTGTGGCCAAAGGGGATGGCAGATTCTTTCAAGGCCACTTAAGACACCCGTTTTCCGCTTCCACGTTAGTGAGTCGGAGTGTGGGTTTTCTCCGCTTAACATGGCTCAGGAGTGCCTTCACAAATGTGCTCCCGAAGGACAGCAAGTGTTCGGTCTCGGAAAAGAAACAACAAGCAGGTTCACAGCCAAGGACAGGCTGCCTTGCCTGAAAAGGCCTTCTTCTATTCTGCGGTCTGATTGGTTTGCACTGTTTTTGCACTGTTTTTGCAACACTGTATATAATTCAGTCCTTGTGTCTTGGATATGTCTTGCAGTGATGTGGTGGATGCTACCCTGTACACATGGTGCTAGCCGCAACCAAAGAGGCAAACTTTACTGTGTGGATTGAGTGGGACACGGGTGGTTGGCGGTGGGTCTTGCTGACATGGCTAACACGAGGTCTCTGCCACATTGTTCTGCCAGACATTCTATGTTGGCACCAATGATGATCATGGATTTCGTTGAGGAACTGACTGTCTTGAATAATCCTTCCATGTCAGCTGAGCAAGAGGCTGCTCGGTCGAGGCAGAAAGGACTCTCGAGATGACCCCTCAAGTTGAACAGCCACAGCCACTGGCACTCAGGGCCCTAAATCTAGAGCTATTGGCCGAGCAAACCACTTCTCGTCCAATGTGCTATGTTTGGATCCATGGATTGTGAACTCACATGCTTTCTTTTATTTGTTGATCTATTCGAACCAAAATATCTGATGAGTCGACGACCATCACTTGGACCTAGCCTGTGCAGCAGAAATAAACACACGACATTGAGCAGCCCCGTGGATGTTTGTGTGGCACTTCCAAAAAGGTTGACAGCGAAACCTGGCATGCCGGATGTCTTCAATGTTATGAGTTATGCGACTCTATGTCTGCCCAGCGTTTTGGGGCATGATTGTGTTGGTTAGAGTTTCTTTCGCTCTAAAGGCGGTGGGGCGTTTGGCACCCTGCTTCATGACTTCAAAGGATCCTGGCAAAGCGCACGAGGCAATCCGCTCTTTGTTCCAACGAAGCAAAGAGGAATTCCAGAATTGAATCATTATTGAGTGTTTTCTCAAGCTGTATATCGCCGGGACAACTGTTTTCAAAGCAGAACATTGAATCAGCTAACAGGGCACGCATGAGAGCTGACTCGTGAATTAGGCACAAAACACACACACACCATGCTACTGGGCTGAATGAATGTATATTTATATGTTTATATTCTTCCCCAGCTCACATGGCTCACATGACATGGCAAGGGACAAATCACTGTTCACTTGATAACTTGATGTGCTTGCCATTCCGGTGATGGAGCACTAGTTGAATGGTCCAAGCACCCCGTTCAGGTTGAAGCCCTGGACCCTTCAGCTTCGCGCGATCCCAATCCTGGCCCAGGGCCTTTTTCACCTGCAGGTTCTTTCGCTGGACACCGAACACAAACTCAAACTGTTGTTAGGGGGGACTTGTGATATCTGAGCCCCTCAAGGGTGTTCCTGACCTTCAAAGCAGCTAAGGAGCAAAACTGTTGATTTGGTACAGCGGTGAAGAGTTTCCAAACATGTTATCCGAGATCGCTGTTGGAATGGATCCTAATAGGAACTGCATTGCCGGATATTGCCGGTAATTTGGAGAACTCAACCTGTTGTGCTCTGTTCAAGAGCTAGTTTTCTTAACGAGCACTATTCTGAAATCAACCATACCAGGCTTTCAGCTTTCGCCTTGCGGGTAGGCCATGAAAACAGTAGCCAGGAAATCATCAAGGATCGATCTAAGCAATTTTTGCACTTTACACTTTACACATTGGAAATCATTGGAAGGGATGGAATCCACAGAGCTTCAACAAATGAGCAATGTTTCAGTGCAATCCTCACTAGTTCTGAAAGCAACGTCTCCGAATACTGGGCTGCCCGGCTTTTGCTCTTCCGTGGGCAGGTGCGGGGTGGCAGCCGAGGACCCCGCGATCGAAAGGTGCCAGGTGGCCTGATCTCACGCTTGCTGCAAGAGGTATCCAAGCAGCTGTAGCAAACACCATGACTCCGTGGTTGCTGGGGGTTTGGACTGGGGCTTCAACTGCTTGGTTGCAAGTTTAGACCGTTTCCCCAAAGGAACCCAAGTTGGTCCTCCAAAGCGTCATGGATCATTTCCCTCGCCCCCTACCACATTGAATGGACCTTAATCAATCTCCTCTGCAATCCAGATGTTCGTCGCTTCCATGTTGGGGTGTGGAGTGGGCTCAGCTGGGAGTCCATGCAAAGTGCCCGCACGGAAGAAGCTCTTGATGACCTTCGCCCGGCCTGGCAAAGGTTGCTGAGTGACTTCTGCAGGTAGTTTCAATCAGTTGGCAGTTGGAAAAAATGCCTAGTGGACAAAAGAACACAGTATGTATATACTAGGGTGAGATGACTTAGTCCAATTGGGTCGAAATGACATACAACTTTCCCAGGGCAAGTCCTAAGTCGTGTACAAATGTTATACAGGGCAATTTCATTGGCACACACTCATGACATAGGCCTTGTTGACCTGGTCCTGAGTTTTTTTTGGGGGGGGTGGTGGGGGGCATGCTCCTGGAAGACTAGAGCTAATGAAAGTCCACATGTCATAGGAACATTTTTTTCTTTAAGTCTGCCTTTGTGCGTTTTTGCTCTCAAATTCCTATCTCTCCATGGTTTATTCATTGTTTAGATACCAAAGTCGTATGTCATGATGCTTGTCAATATAAAATCAACTGTTTTTAGGATCTTTGGTGACAACCTCCGGCATCTCTGATTTTGAGGTGTTTCCAAGCTTTTGCTTCATGACATAAATACTTGTGGGGGGTAAACCTTCATGACTTAGCCGCCGCAATTTGGAGGTAGTTTTCACAAGTCCTTTGTCATTTCAGCCTAGTATATATATATATATACAAAATATGAAAGTCGTTTCTCCCTTGGAATGTCATATCTCCAGAAATAGGATGAAGTGGACTTCCACCACTCTTTCTTGCTGGGCTGAGGTCTCGTGGTTGCAGGATTCCAACGGGGTTATGCAGGTTTCTTAATGCTGCATATCAAGAAACACGTCTCTGAAATTCTTGATGATTCAACACTATGCTAAAGGCCGCGGGCGCCTTGGTATTCTGCCGAACAGACTGGCAAGTGCTCAGCACCTTCCGCTTGGCTGAGGCATCCCGACGCTCCCCGGCTAAGTGGCTGAACTCTTTGGGCGGCTCTTGCCGTGGCCTTGAGGAAGCGACGAAGCTGGGTGCTGGATGTGGATCTGTCTATCTATCTATTTATCTATCTATCTATCTTTTCATGTATCCATCTATCCATCTTATCACTCTTATCGATCTTGTCAATCTTATCTACCTCATCTATCTTATCTATCTTATCTATCTATCTTTCTTTCTTTCTTTCTTATCTATCTTTCTATCTATCTATCTTATCTATCTTATCTATCTAATCTATCTATTCTATCTAATCTATCTATTCTATCTAGTCTATCTAATCTTTCTAGTCTATCTAGTAGTCTATCTAATCTGTCTAATCTATCTGATCTATCTATCGATCTATCTATCTATCTATCTGTTTTTATTTATCTTATCTATCCTATCTACCCTACCTATCTTACCTATCTTTTCTATCTTATCTATCCTATCCATCTTATCTACCTTATCTATCTTATCTATCTTATCTTATCTTATCTATCTAATCTTATCTATCTAATCTATCTATCTATCTATCTTTCTGTCTTTCTTTCTTTCTTTCTTATCCATGGCTATCTATCTATCTATCGATCTTATCTATCTCATCTATTTTATCTATCTAATCTATCTATCTATCTTTCTATCTGTCTTTCATTCTCTATTTCTGAATTTCTTTCTTATCTATCTATGTATCTATCTATCTATCTATCGTCTATCGTATCGTATCGTATCGTATCTAATCTATTCTATTCTATCTATCTAATCTATCTAATCTATCTATTGTATCTAACCTTTCTATCTAATCTATCTAATGAATCAATGGATCAATCAATCAACCAATCAGTCAATCTATCTATCTTATCTATCCTATCTATCTATACTCTGTGCAGATGAGTTAGGAGTTTGGTGATCTGATGAGTTGGCACTTGCCTGGGGAAACTCTCAACTCATGTGTGCTGGGATGATGGACATGCTCTACAGAGACTGAAGAGATAGGAAACACACAGGGCAACCCTGCATAAAGGTCTGGACATGTTTCGGACACACGATTTCAATTGCCGGCATGCACATGGCACATCCCGTTGACATTCCATCAAAGCCATTCAACATCTTGGCGTTTGTCCACCGCCAACCATGTCGAGTCCATCAAAGGCCTCACAACTCCTACTCATGTGCTGTCATCCACAAAAACCTCTCCAAAGTGCTCCAAAGCATGCTACAACACTTTACAAAGCTCATGTTGAAATCATGTTTTCACTGCCTCAGGCTCATGAGCTAGGAGTTATGTATGAAATAATTGCCCAAATGTACTTTTCCACATGAGATAGGACTCATGATTTTTGAGATACTTCCGCCAACTCCTTAGTCATCAGTATACAGTAACTATCTATCTATCTGTCTATCCTAATCTAATCTAATATAATCTATCAATCCTATCTTATCTTATCTTATCTCATCTCATCTCATCTCATCCATCCATCCGTCCATCCATCCATCCATCCATCCAATCAATCTATCAATCAATCAATCTATCTATCCATCTATCTATCTATCAAACTATGCTAAAGGCACAAGTAGGCCTTTCAAGGAAGGTCCACGTTCTCTCGGTGGATCGGGGTCACACTGAAGCGATGTCAAATTTGTTGATGAACTGCCCCTCCTTTTTGTGTTGGTCAAGCTACTTCATCGTCATGTGCAAGGGCACTGGTAAATGTTGCTCTCGTTCATGACCTAACCTTCACCTTTTGCAGCTACCGGAAGTTCCCGTGAACCCAATTTTCCGGAACAACAAGTTCAGCAAAAGATGGTAAACAAAATTGATAGGTCAACTGATCAGCTGGAAGTCAAACTAGGGAACTAGGGAAGCAAATCCAGGGAGGTTGGTTGCTGGCTTCCTACAGTTCATGGACAAAACCTGCATCACTTTTGACCTGTCCTGTAGCGGGATCTGTATGACTGATGTACCACAAATGGCAACCGTGGAGGCATGATGTACTACAAAGGGACTCGGTTGGAAGTCCCTTTGACCGAGGCCCTGAGACCTCTTTGGGACAATCTTGTGGACCAAACCAAAGGCTGCCCTCAAAGCATTGTGACCCGTCAGGCTGACCAGGCCCTGTGAGGCACAACTTCTTGCCCACTTGGCACATTGGCGGCCGTTCCAACACAACGGCAAAAGGCTCAAAGCGTTGAGGGAAACAATGTGATCCTTAAGCCTTAGCTGTCCTCTGCAAAGCCGATCCTCACGGAACAGTACATAAATCTTTAAGTGCTTGATCACGAAATATCCAACTGTACCAAAAGGAAAGTGAGATGCCATGCCCAAGCTTTGGTTCATGTACCTTATACTTGAATATGAATGACACTGGTCTTCTTTACGACCATGCTCTGCATCCTCATAGTCCTCTCAAAAGGGGGCTCCTGATATGTTCCATTCACACTTAGCAGGAAAACAAAGACAAAATAGTGGACCTACCTCCACTCACAACTCATCTACACTGGTCTTCACCGAGAGGCGCTCGTGCAAAGGTGGTTTGGTTGCCTGTCAGGATGTGAGAGAACTGCTGGCCCCTAAAAGGAGTGGTCCGGTTTGGTCGGATCGCACAAATGCCTAAAGACCATCAAAGAGCGCTACATTGTAGTTTCCAAAGTTGCAAGGAGTAGCTCTCTTTCCTGCTACCTTAAGTGTCCCTAAAAATCCAGAAACCAAATCATTAGAGCGAGCTGTCCTGCATCCCAAGCAGTAGCTATTTAAGCTACTAAAGCTACTACTAGCTAGCTACCTTCCTCTATAGCTACTACCTACTAGCGGCCTACCCCCCTTAAAAAGAAAACAAAAACTATCTTTCCTGCTACAGTATATGACTTTTTTGTTGTAATGGCTCTGAGACTGGGAGATCCCGAATGGCAACTGGCTTCAGGCTTGGCCTTTCCAAACGAGCCCAATGTCAACACACCTTCCTGTAGCGCAACAAAAGGCCTCAAATTGGTAGGAAGCACATAAAGTAACTGCATACTTTTTTGGGAACCACATAATCAGTGCAAAAATAACCTTCCTCTCGTGCCAGCCAGATCCATCATTTACAAACTCGGCTGCAATCGTTCTCTTTCCTTTCACCGTGGAAACATATCCTTAGAACTCCTGTTCCCATCCATGGTCACTTCCATTCATCCCCTGTCACCGACCCCACCCACAATTTGTATTGATAGTCAAGGTTGAAAGTGGGTACCGCTAGAAAAACAGTTCCTGGGTGGAATTAACACCCCACACAGCCTTGTTGGTTAACGGAGGGTGGACTTCTCCCTGCTGACATGCTGCCTCCACCACGTCTAGAGGCGGATTCTGGATGGTAGGCCTTGGCATATTGTGAAGCTTGAGGGTCATCCGAGTCCAGAGTGAACACTCCAGCCACAGTGTTCTCCTCTTTTACAACACAGAGTGTTCCACGACTTGACCATCCTTCTTCTTCATGCACGCACATGTTGAAAGGTGGAGGCTTTGTCCAAAAGAAAGCAAACATGCAGGTCAGGTCCATACATCCACGCACGTCCCAAAAGGGTGAGAAAGTGTACGGGACAAATGGCGACTTTTCGGGAGGTCACAACCTGTTGGAATTCTGAAAGTAAATGTATTCTACACTGACCTAAAACTCCAAATACAAAGAACATCTTTCAAGGATTTTCAAGGACACTATGTCACCATGTGACTACCCAGCAAGGAATTCACTGCCAGCAGTTTGTGGAAGGCAGAAAAACAGCCTTCAAGCAACTACCACCTTCTAGTTGCACATTGTGACATTGATGGATTAATGACGTGTGGACTTTGTCATACGCCGCCATTGTGCGCTTCCCTCGGAACTCCCTGAACTCTCTGGAGGTCAGGGAGCTCTCTCGGAGCTTCTTGGGCCCGGGATGGCCCGGGAGGCTTCTTTGCTGGAGTCAGCGGATTCAAACTCGGAATCAGAATCATCAGAATTCGAAGATATAGCGATATAGGAGGAACTCAAATGCAGCAGAGAATCTTCTTTCGAGCCTTGGTCAAAGTGAAAGAACTTCCTGTGTGCAGCTTTGAAAGCCATGAACACAAGCACGCTTTCCATTTCGATCAACCCCAGGCTTGTCAAGCATGCCATCGCCTAGGCCCATTGGTGCGGCACAGTTGCGATGAGGAAAATATCATCGTGAATGTAGCATGGGGCGGTCTCTTTCGGCACACCTCCCCTCGCTTCTTCGAACGCCTTGTGCTCTTTTGAAATCTCTTGACAAAGCTCATGTTGTGCTTCATTCTTCGGGCCAGATCCTGCAACTGCGTTGCCCACAAGAAGTCGGCCGTGCAAGTTACGGCCTTGCGAAATGGTGTGTTCATCTTGTTCATTCACGTTGGTCGTGAAGATAGCCTCTTCTCAAAGAAGCGGAAGGCACCCTTGCTTGTGGGCGGCAAGGTCCGTGGCGTTTGCACGGACAATACCAGCAACAATAGGGCACCTGCACAGCAACTACTCGAGGTCTGAATGTGAAGATCTCAAGAAGTGGACTTCATCTCGGAGTCCATCGACAACCTGGATAGGGTCCACCAGGCAGTCAAGCTACTAATCTAGCCTACAATCCCTAGTCTCAACGTTCGAAAACAAATCTAACCCACGTGCTCCTTGATGACCAAGAATACTAACCTGACATATCCTGACATAGATTCATTCCTGTAGGGACCCCTCAAAGTTACTTTGATTTTGGCAAGAACCATGCCTTTGAAACATTTTGCAAGTCGTAGCCCTTCACGCCAGGAGGGATCTCCCATTTCATACAAACGAAGAAGCAAAAGCACTTCAATCCCAAACTTGTTGCCGAACGCAAAAAATCAATGATCCGCCCAGGCTGTGTCCTGACCTTCAGCTCGACAGCTTGACACTCTCTGGTGGTCAACGTGAAGGCGTTGCAAGCATAATCAAGATTCTTCATGCACCCTCAGACATGCAGCGGCTGCAAAGGTCGCATATGCAAGAACAATGATTGCCAAGTAAACTTCTCATCTCTCATAATCTCGAGCCACAGTACGAGGTGACACGTAAAAACAAAGTACTTCACACTTATATGTCGAAGGTGCCCAATACGCTATCACAACCATACAAATTGTTTGTCCTCTCAAGTAACTTCAACCAAGACTGTTGAGTTTTCACTTCCAGCCTGGGATCCACTTTCTATGGCTACAATGAATATGAACAGCACATGTCCATTCAGCTGATATGAATAAAAAACCACACCCACTCACGATATGTTCTGCTCAAGTGGATATCTCTAAGTAGTTTGTTGCAATTGGTTTTAGCATTCGTTCTGCGATTGGCCTTCTCATGGAGCTTGCAGCAATCCAAAATCACTCACTTGGCAGTGAATCTCAACTGGAAAACACATAGTAGCTAGAGCTTTTGGGGCAAGAGAAAACGCATGGTATGAAATAGATGATAAGTGACACACACACATATAAATACAAAATATATAATATTACACATATATACATATTCTCCAGAATTAAACACAAGTCCCAGTTGACATTCTGTATGCTGGCTGATCTTACTGGCAGTAGGGCAGTCCCATCAACAGTGAGTTTCCAGCCCCTGGGCCAGGGCAAATGTCGTCGGGATCATTCTCTGCAAACCTTGTAGCGAGGGCACATATGACAGCCTGAAGAATGAAAAAGAACCTGGAAAACAAGTAGAACTATGCGAGGACGAGAAGGACGGGTAAAACATGGTAAAACTCTCTAAGGTCGGGCCTTCCAATGGCATATGTTCGTTTCACAACTGGGGACGCTTGCATACGTTTGATCTTTACCACCATTTTGGCTCATCAATCAGCGTGGACTCGAGGAATTCTGGATTCTACAGCTTGCAGGTCGGACCAATGCCCCTTGGCCCAAATCTAGCACAGAATGCACATCCTTAAGGATGATGACATTTGCACATGGCCCATGCTGTTCATGTTTCTCTCTGAAACTAAAGTCGACAAAGCCGAACCCGCAGCCTTTGGACAGAGCTCATCTTGACAACTCCTTTGATGGTTGCCGGAATCTCTGTCCTGTATGTGCCTGGCTGGAGGATAAGCAAGATCAGGGCTGGGCTTCAGCCGCGACCATCTACGTCACGGCTCAGCTGAGGCTCAGCAGTGTTGTAAAAAAGGGTCGCCAGGATGCACAAATACAGCTATAGCAATATATATAAATGTCAATATGTCATATTTCCATAACAGCATCATATAGCCAGCTCTCTGTCACGGTTCATTGTTCTGTGCATATTGCATGTGAGGTCTTTTGACTTGTCAACTTGTCAACAAGAATACATCCTAATAGATCCTTAAAACGGGACTGTTGTTCGACCACAGAACACTGAACGATACTGCTAAGATTGATCGTCTGGCAACGTGTTGAGAAATTCTATGGGAATGCGCAAGCTTCGAGGTAAACGCTCGAAACAGGCCCGGGCAGCTTGTGCACAAATGTCGGTTTAGGTGTGGGTTGAACATATTAACCCAGGTCATCGCGGCTCAAGTCACACCCATGCTATGCTAAATTTAAATCTCAGCGCAGGACTGACACACACACACATGGTGTTGAGCTTCCCATCTCCTTCTGCAGTGCTACGGCTGCTGCAAACCCAAGTGATGCTCACAAAGCACCCAAACATCTTCAGAAGCTAAAGTTGTCTGTAACAGATTCTGTAACTACCGCAAAAAATCCAGAAACAAGGGACAATGCACACCAACAATGGACAAATGGCAGTGGGTCCCCCCAAAAGGGCCATAGGAGATTAGTTTCCCACAGTTTACATTTGCTGATAGTACTGGTTCAAAAAATAATTAGCAAGTTTCTGCACCATGCGGAACCGCCTGGGCCGATGTAGGAGATCTGCGGCTGGGAGTTCCATCGCCGGGCTCCCGTGAAGCTTTGCCCACTGGGCTCCGCGATCGGCGGCTCCAGGGAATACCTGAGTCAGTCCGGAGTTTTGAAAGAGGCCACTCTATCTTTGGCCTTTTCGGCACCAAAAAAAGTGGGATCCAGGGATCCATTCTCTTTTTTCTGCCCCACGAATCTGAAGAGTTGATGAGTAGTTTAGTAAAGTAGTGAACCCATTCTTCTAGGGAGCAATGGAAAATTTGTGAAGAGTGAGAGTACGTAGAACATTGGAATGGGTTTCCTATCCCACATAAATCTGGGAAACTGGGAATTTTGTGGTGGCTTCTGAAACACACCTGTATGGGTTTTAGCCCCCCCAAGACACACATAATGCAAGTACGGCATATATAAAATAGATTGAACATTGAAACGTAAAAGCATGAAATACAAAAAAGTGATTCAAAATCGTTGTTGGATGGGAGGAGGATGCTAAATCAATTGCCACACGGAAAAGTGGGCACCAATGCACCGCTGGGCTTCTGGCGTTTGTGGATCAGGCCTGTCCGGCGAGTGGAGGACTTGTGGCTTTGGGCAGAAAGGACAAGAAAATACGCCATTCTGCTAATTCATGATTTCTCGTGGTATCACATGAATTGTGAAATTACCTTGGGAATGTGTGGACTAAGATCGAAGCTTCACTGTTGCTTGGACCCTTCAAGACACATCTTATGAATTCTTTATGTCTATATATACTGTAAGTGTATGTACTTATGCTATATACGTCAGGTCGCTACAATTGATGCAGTGAAGTACCTGTGTATCACGCGCTTAAATTACATGCTGTTGGAACCCAAGAAACCCTCTATCAAGTCTTTCTTGTGAATAAGGCCCAGTGAATCCACCAAGCCCCGCGGGGCAGAAGATGTCAACAAAACTAGCGTCCTCTTGTTACTAGAAGTAAGAATGCTCCTAGTAGCGATGCCAGGAGCCCCTAGTAGCGTCCTTGCTCCTAGTAGTAAGGCCAGGAGCCCCTAGTAGCTTCTTGTTACTAGTAGTAAGGAAGTGCGATGTTTGTGGCTGGGTAACCAGATCGTGCCCATGCTGGAAGTGGCCTCATCTCCAAAAATGCTGTGCCCTCTGGTCGATGGCCGTTCAAACACCTGCGACTCTCAGCTTCATGACCTCTAGCACGGAAAAACGTTTCTTTTATCGAGCCCAAAGCGCCTTCTGTAGGCAGGTCCATTAGACATCATTAGACATGAGTCACGGGAATGCCCTAGTGTCTTGTGGACTTTGCATTCACTCTCGTCACACCGATATATGTTTTGGACTGGCCACCAAACACAGATTATTGTTTCAGAGCTGGTACAATAGCCCATTGACAAAAAAGTAAAAACGAATAACTATGCGTCTGTGTTCATGTATTGCAATATTGTACATACACATATTGATTATATATATATATATGTATTCATCCGACATAACACCTCTTGGGCAATCTATAGTATCTAAAACGACTGTGGACACGTCGATATATGTGGTTTACCATCGTTGCCGCAGCTTTGAGAACCCTGCGAGGCAGCACGCGTCTTGAGTGTGGACGGTGGCATATACCTGCAGTAACTAGCTTTGTGCAGTGCTTCAAAAACTCGCTGCGACATACTTCAATGCAAGCTTATGTCTGTGGGTCCTGTGGATGCCCTTTGACCTTTGATGGCAATGAGCAGTCGCACTTCCTTTTCGACCTACAAGTGCGAAGAGACGTGAAATCATTGATAACCATGGCTCGCTCAAGGGGCTGCGCATTCCTCGTCCTCATGCCATCCTCCAAGTTTGAACTTGACTCCACTCTTCATGAGGCGCTCAAGAAGGCATGTGCCACCTGCAACGCTGGGCGTCAGGACTCCTCCACGATGTTGAAGCTTGTTCTTGTCAAAGCGAAGAGTGAGAGCGGTTTCGATGGCAACCCTGGCAGCCTCGAAATATCCATCTCTGGTGATGAAGCTGCACTTCTCTTGATGTCCGTCCATCGATTCAGCATGGAGGAAGAAACCAGCCCAGCTGCCAGCCATATCCTCAAGGGATGGACCCTCACCTGGACCGTACTCCTTTCCGGTTCTCTTCATTGTGTGGAGCTCTTCATCCACAGTCATTCCATGCTGGCCGAACGGCACAAAAGGCTGCCCCTCCTTGTAGTAGATCTGCTGCTGCTTCTCTGACGGCAGCATGGCAAATTCGGTGAAATTGAAAGTCAAGCCGTAGGGCTCATTCACAAGGTCAGCCTGGAGCATGTTGGA